GCGCAAGTCTTGGGGGATCATCCCACGATGAAGAGAGGAGTAGGAAGTATGGTCATAACTTAAAACACTTGAAACATGTTATAATATAACAGTGATAACATGTCATAACCCATTCTCTTGTGGGTTTTGTATGTCATATTTCCTGAAATAGGGATGGGCTACCCCATTTCATCCTCCATTTTAGATTGGTTTTTGTTGAACCATCCAGCTATGGGGTACCACCATTTATGGAAACGCCCATTTATGCCATGGGGCAATCCACGAAGAAAGGATTCACCATCAAAGCTAGGCGAAAAATGGTCACTCTACACTCCACACTCTACACTCCACACACTACACTCCACACTCTACACTTCACACTCTACACTCCACACTCCACACTTTACACTCCACACTTTACACTCCACACTCCACACTTTACACTCCACACTTTACACCCCACACCTTGCACTCTACACTCCACAATCCCCACCTCACACTCTACACACTACATTCCACACTCAACACTCCACTTTCTTCACACCCCACACTTTGCACTCCACCCTCTTCCGTATTCCGCAGTCTACAGTGCACTGGTAGGGTAACAGGGGAAAAATGTACAAGACTGTTCAAATAATTTGTTTCACAAAAGCGTTTTACGTGACTGCCGTGACTGCATTCGGGTTCGTGGGCTGCATCTTGTTTCATGTGGGTTTGTCTGAGAACAGAATATGCATAGGTACCCCACTCCATTCTGTAGAACGTCGCTTCCAATTTTTTTTAGATTGTCGTTTTTAGTGTGGGTCAATCCACCATGTTCAGATTTCAGAAACACCATATTAATCTAGCAAAATCTTACCCATATTCCAAGGCTGTTCATATTCCATGCCCAAATAGCTCCGGAAATTTGGAAAATAATGAACGACCTTTGATGATGAGAATAAGGTTGTGTGACCCTTGTCAGGCGCTCCCTTGTCACGTGCTATCATGTCCAGTCGCACATGTTTAACCCCGCTGAGAACCTTCTCAAGCAATGATTTCTTGAATAAACATAATCATAAAGTCTTGTTTCTCTCATCAATCATCAGCTTCTCTCTATAGGATCTGTTAAAACCATTGGATAAGCTGTTCAGCTTATTTTTTGACGCGTTTGGCTGGCGGCTCAGCTTCCGCATCTTTAAACGGGCCAAGTCTGGATTACGCTGTTCTTCCTCGAACCCAAATGGTACCATATTTCCACTTAATACAGTTACATTGAGTAGGATGCCACCCCTGGAGTACGATGCCCCCCCCGTATGCGTTGCCGTTCCTGCATGTGGGCTTCTCAGGCATATGTTAATATCATTTTTGATCAACTCGAGGCTGCAAATTCCATTCCACATACCCACAAGGCATCACACTCTATCGCGCACGAATGCGCACGACTAAGACAACAATCGAGAATTTCCATAGCCTCCACGGGTCAAAAGTATCAAAATTTCATGGAATGCGATTGTATGCGCGACTGTTCAAAACGCTGGAAAAACAACAATTTCCCCCATATTCCATATTATCAGATTCCAGAGCATTTTACCTCCGAAGAGGGAAAAAAAATAAAACAAGCTCTTCAGGTCAATTTTTCGAAAAAAAATGTTTTTGGCTGTCTGCGCAAGTTTTTCTGGTGTACGATCCCTTTTGTGGAGTACGATGATCTGTGAGTAGGTGTGTGGAGTGCGATGGGGTCCTCTGGGGTGCGATGACACCCCTCGAGTGCGATGCGACATGAGTATGCGCGGCCGGAAATCCCCTGAGAGAAGGATTCTGGGCCACAATTCCCCAAATTCAACAGAGTGGGCGGATGCTGGTTGTTGTAATTTAACAGGATTTCAGCCCACAACAAACAAGTCAAACAATCTGTTGAAACCCTCGCCTTCTTCAGTCTCCAAAATGGGAAACTCACTTATCAGGACACGCTTTAGTTCTTCCAGGCTCCATCGCATTTCAGGAACAACACAAGGCATCGACATGGTGCCAAACAATTTCCAAATTGAGCTGAAAGGTCTTCCCATCGCAACCAGTCAATTCACAGGTGTGAAACATGTTACACACAGGGAAACAGGTTGGGAAAACAGTGGGTCCAAAGAGACAGGTCTGGAGTACGATGGATTCATAGTATATGTACATTTTCTGAATTTGGGTAACTTGGAGCTAGAATTAAACCATATTACCCTCTGGTAAACTAACATAACTATGGGAAATCACCATTTTCAATGGGAAAATCCACTATAAATGGTCATTTTCAATAGCTATTTTGACAGAACCAGAGGGTGTTTACCCTTATAAACCCACTATGAACCCATTAAAAACCCGTGGGAATTTGGCCCCAAACACTTGTCACGTGGAATTCGTGGAGCACATATTGTTACATATCCCATAGGATCCATGGTGCTGCTATATATGGTAACATGGATCCCATATTTTACCATCAATATACCATTAAAAATGTTAGCATTAATATACCAGCACCAGCCGGATCCGTCATGGGATATGTGGAGATATTGACTTGATAGAACGGGATATATATATACATGGATATCATATGATATAATGATATAATGTCAACCAGGGATTGATAGTGGTGATATATCCAACCATAATCAGGATATATCAGGATATGGTGGAACATTTCATGGCATTTCTTGGGATGTGTATATTAGAAATATCATGAAATATCTGGCTGGTTGGTGGTTTCAACCCCTCTGAAAAATATGAAAGTCAGTTGGGATGATTATCCCATATATGATGGAAAATAAAAAATGTTTGAAAGCACCAACCAGCTGGCCAATATAAGCCTGTTGCTTGGTTGTTAACGGTTCAACCACCGGCCCCGGCGCAACAAGTCACTGTTCAGAACGCGCCTTGAGATTCGCCAGATCCTTCTCCAGCTGTCCGACCGCATCGCGGGTGGCAACCGACAACGCCGAGGTGGCCTGGTAGCGCGGCTGTTGATGACTGTGGTGAAAGGACTTTACTATATCAATGGTGATGTAACATGATGTAACCAAGAAAAATTAGATGTTAATGGGATTTATAGCTGAATTATGTTAGCTAAGTTGGTTTATAAGTCCAATAACATAATAACTGGGATTTATGGGAGATATACCTATACTTAATGGGGGTTGCAAACCAACTTATAACTGGCGGGGCACCACCTTGTACCAATGGTGTGTCTGAAAATATTAGAGAAATCTTATATAGTGTCAAAAAGGTTGGTGGTGAAAATGCTAAAACAAAACAATACATAGTCATCTCAAACAATCATCTCAAGTATAGTTGAAAAACAATAAATGAGTTTAAATCACATTTATGATCGTTTCTAGCAAAACATGTGGTAGTACAATTTACTACCAATGGTAAATGGTATTCTCCATCACATTGTAAACCTGAAAGGTGATTAATGGTCTCTACCATTCAGACTCAGGGGTGTTTCCCTTTTTTACGTAAGTATATGGTACCATCCGAAAAAAACAGCTGTATATCGGATATACCCAGCTTCTGAATATTGGTGTTTTGACCTCTTACCAAGTGGGATGTACCCTCTGGTAAACTAACATAACTATGGAAAATCACCATGCTATTAATGGGAAAACTCACTATTTCTATGGCCATTTTCAATAGCTATTTTGACAGAACCAGACGGCCGGAACACATATCACAAAGCACAAAAAACACACTTGTCCGAAGGTCCAAAAGTTTTTCATTACAGCAGCCAGTGGAAAGCAGGCCATTTCGGGTACCCGAAATGGTAAACAAACAAAAAGCTATTGAAAATGGATGAAAATGGCACCTTTATAGTTGATTTCCCTATTAAAAAATGGTGATTTTCCAGTTCGCAAACGGATAGTTTACATGTAGAGTTTCTGTTTGAGGCCGATTTTTTCTCCAAAAACCTGGGACCATGGAAAGCATGGAAAGCATGGAAAGCAACAGCTGATCTGTGACGCTGCGCAAATGGAACTGTCAACACAATATGCATTGTATCATAGAGTGGTGATGATGATGATGATGATGATGTGCATCTATCTACATCACAGCCAATGATATACATCATGTGCTGTACACATATATATATATATATTAGAGAGTGACAGATACAGATATATCATCGACCACCTATATTATATATACACATACAGTATGTATATATATATATATATTATTATGTATGCAATTGTATGCATAAATTGTGTAGGTACAAATTCATCATGTGCAACATATAACAATTTCCATCCCTAAAAATTGATAAATATGCTGGATCCCCCCAAAAAAGAAACCACCCAACCTCGATCTTTTCAATGGAGGCCTGGCCACTGGCAGCTGAACCCTCTTTTTTTTGCATAGACCCTGCCATCAGTAGGGGGTTTGGTTAGTTTGGAGGATTCCTCTTTAAACAAATCTTCAGGGTTTGTGTTAGTTTGGAGGATGGTACAAGTTGAGGCCCCTTATGAGTTGGAAAAAAGTTGGTTTCATAAACATCAACCATAGTTGACATAGTAAACCAACTTAGCTGAGGAAAACCTGGGGCTCCAGTTTCTGGAAATGCCAGCCAAGATGTTGGCAAATCACAACCACTGAGCTTCGGAATCCCACACAGGAACCCCAGTGGTTGCTATAGTTGGTTAACATTGGTTAAGCCATTCACATGTGTCATGGTTATGTTTTATGTAAGGTCATTTTATGTATACTGGAAACGCTGACCGGCCATCGGTTTGCAGTGAGTCAGTCTTAGGCAGCACATTTAGGGAAGGACCTTCACAACCATGGTTTGTTCACTGGAGGCTACGTGAGGCTACGTCAACCCCATTTTTTCCCAAAACTATGAAAGTCAGCTGGATATTCTCACTTCATGTCTATAGATTGAGCAAAAATAGACCTTTTTGAAAGCATCCACCACCTTGGATATGTTGAACACCATTGAGCTTCATCACAAGAGCTGCTGACACTGCTGACGCTGTATTTTTCTTCGATGCCACTGCGGTGTCTCAGCAGCTTTTGTCTCCCACATATCCTTGGTCCGCCCCGTGGATGCTTGGAATGTCATCAACCTGTGAGGCTACACTGGCGGAAGAGTAGCCTAAGCACACTTCAAAAACCCCGGCTGGGAGAGCTTGAAGCGACTTAGTCACACTAGGGAAACAGGATTTTGAACATGTGTCGATTGTAGATATTGGAGGCTCAGTGATTCTAACCCATCTGAAGACTAGATGAATTGTGCTGTTTGAGACGCCGTAATTCGCATCCAAGCATTCATGTGGGTCCCTTGAGCACCTAAAACATGTTCATGGAATGTTGCTGATTCTTCCTTCATTGCATGACCAGAACAAAGCCTCAGGGCTCTCAGTCTGAAGACTTCTTTTGGACGCAATCTTTTTTGGATGGAACATGGTGGATAACTGTTTCGGTATTTCGCACTTCCGGATGAAGTACCCAAGTAATTTCCAAACAAGCTGCCGGCTTGTAAGCCCATAGATTTGCGAAGCTTTGTCACCTCAGCACCGATACAGCTCGCCAGCTAACATGTGGAATGGCCATGACATATCCACGGGCAGGCCGACAGGCTGCTATGTTGATGTGAATGGTTCTCCTTCTATTGCCATCTTTGCAACTACGTGCTAGAATTCTGTCCTATACGGCCTATACGGCCTATACGGTATCTGTGTTTTTCACTGTAAGGTTTTCAAACAAAAAACCTAGTGGAACATAACACTTTTCACTAACACTTTTCAAATGTTATAAGTTTCAGTTTATGCTCCTGCCAAGACACTACCAAGTTTTGAGCTTTGATGCGGTTTCCCAGCACCACAATGTCAGCACCTGCAGCTGAGCATGGAAGGTGCCGTGTCTGATGACTGGTTCCGTCTTGGTGTGCCACATGTCCACTTTTGATAGTCAGTCATATTTTCCATTATTTTCCCAAGTCAATGGTCAATCATGTGCATACGACATCTTATAACCAAAGAACTACCTCATACCCAAGTTGGGGGGACCTTGTTTCTACATGGAGCTTTCCTGAAATGGGCTACCCCCATTTCTCTACTTTTTTCTAGGATCCACCAAAAACCATCCACTGGGCTACCTCCATGACTATGGAAACCCCAAAACATTGTCCCCATCGCCTGCGTGGCGCGCCGCCACCTCCTCGGCCGTGCAGGAAATCATCACCCGCAGCGGCGGCGGCAAACGGCGCGCGGCGGCGGCGCGCTGCATCGCCTCCAGCAGGTCGTAGCCGTTCATGGCGTTACGTTCCTGGCCGTTGGGCAGGGCCCAACGGGGCCCAACGGGGCCTAAAAAGGGTAAGAATTGGTTCAGGGGCCCGTAAATGGGGTTAGTAAACTAGCATTTGTAAATGGGGCCAACTTAGCAGAGTTAGGAACCAGGGTTATGAAATGTTGTTCAGCATATGGTTCATATGATCCCAGAAATCCATGCGATCAAGATGTATATGATTGTACAGTGTACATCAACTTTGGGATTCTGGCCTGGTATATCATGCAATTAGATGCAATTATATAGATCCCATTCTCTTCCCAGTATGGTTGGTTTCATTCCCCTTTGTCTTAGCCTGTCACTTGCAGCTCACAGTTTTTTCAGCCACCAACTGGAGATCTTGGCCAACAATGAGTAACAAGCAGCGTCGTTATCCAACAAACATCTGCTTGAGTGGCCTCCAATATATGGTGATTTAACAAAAAAAGTGGTACAATGGAGATATATGTATATACAGTGTGTGCATACAATGGGATACAACGGAATACTAGCAGGATATCAGCGGGAATACAATGGAATATCAGCGGAATATTCATCAAACATGGCAAAGTCCAGTCCCAGGATGTCCCAGGCGCCTTGCGCCCATTGCCTTGCATCATGGACGTCATGATGCACAGCACCTCCTGCGGCTTTCGCAGGTACTGCTGCAGCAGCGCCTCGATTTGCCGTGGAGGCCGTTGGAGCAGGCTTCTGAGAAACCCGGCCTGGTAAACATAGAAAAAGCTATTGAACATGGCCCAGTCGAAATAGTGGATTTTCCCATGAAGGGCATGGTGATCTTAAGCTCCCCCGTCCTGCCTGCAAAATTTTGGAAATCCCCGTTTTTTCCATGTAGGTTCTGCTGGAGAAAACATAGGAAAACCATGGGGAAAATCACAGAACATATGAAATCATAGGAGAATCCTCCACAAATTGGAGCTTTATAGCTGGGAAAAACCATGAAAAACATCTACAAGTGGGGGATTTGCCATTTCCACGTTTTTTTTTACCGGAAACGTAAGCTCCACAGTTCGAACGTTGGTATCATGGCTGTATCATGGTTTATCCAACATGGGATATACCCTCTGGTAAACTAACAAAAAACTATGGAAAATAACCATGCTATTAATGGGAAAATCCACTATTTCGACTGGGTCATTTTCAATAGCTATGTAACAAATTACCAGAGGGTAACAAACTCCAGGATAAAATGGCCAGGGCTACCCAACATGTTCAAACAAACTCGTACACTGAAATGTTGGATACATCTTTTTTTGATGTTTGATCCTACTGCCAACCTTGTATGTCTACTGGTTATTGCTCACTTACCGGGATGCACACCACATACTGGCTTGGTCTCATCCAACTTGATCATGACACAATCTCCAAGAACGGACTCTCCGAACATGACCCATTTGACCACCCAACCACCTGCTTGGTGGTTGAGCCTACCCCTCTGAAAAATATGAAAGTCAGTTGGGATGATTATTCCCAGTATATGGAAAAATAAAAAATGTTCCAAACCACCAACCAGACTACAAATAAGAGCTCATCAATGCTCATCAAGCATCTGTTGAGATGTCCCATATGTATCGATATGTTAGGTACGCGGTTTATCACCCATTGATGGATATCCAAGTGGGTGAAGTACTATGGTTGCTACCCACTTCGTACTTGGGATCTCAGTACACATTGGACGCCTTGTATTATTAATTCTGCCAGCAATACATTCCAGCATACAGGCATTATTGTCGATTATATAAATGCCAATTCTATCGGTTGCTTTTGATTATATTCAAAACAAACATACAACCAGTACTTGGATTTACTTGAGGCCCCCAAAAGAATAAGCCGTATTTCCTATGTATTCCCCAAACCAGTGTAAATTTTCCAATGGAAAAAGCAAAGAATCACGTTAAACAAAGCCAGGATTACAGTGAAACTCCATTAAATCATTAAATCCCACTAGATCCCCATTGTCTTCACTTAAAATCCCCCATGTTTTTTTCCAATGTACGCTCTGGTAATTTAACATAGCGAACTGGAAAATATCCATTTTAATAGGTAAATCAACTATTCTATGGGCCATTTTCCATAGCAAACTATTAAATTACTAAAGGGTAAAATCCCATTAAATCCCATTAAATCCCATTAAATCCCATTAAATCCCATTAAATCCATGTATAACTGGGCCATGAGGCTTGGCAAATACCCAAAGCCTAGACCCAACCATTGGCCCAACCCTGCCAGCTGCCTCAGGTTCTTGGAAGGCTTGGACCTGCATCCCGGAGCCGCGCAAGACGTCACAGCTGCGCAAGATCTCCGGGTCGCTGTCACACCACAGCACTGTACCTTGGAGGTCCTTGGTCGCACATGAACAAGAGGAGTTTGGAACAAAAATAATGATTTTGATGGTGACTTAACAGATTTTGATGGTGACTTAATAGATATTTATGGTGAGTTAATAGATGTTTATGGTAACTTAACTTAATAGATTTTTATGGTGACTTAATAGATTTTTATGGTGACTTGAAGGGGTTTAATGGTGATTTGATGGGGACCACCTTGAAGAAAATGATGCACAACAGGGTAAAGCTATCACAGTTCGATCAACTATTTATTCTAGGGAAACCATGGGGTTTTCCCCACGTTTTGGGTATCAAATATCCAGGGGAATATATATATATATATATATATGTAATATGGCAAATGGATATGATATGATATGATTTGATATGATTATATGATATGATATGATATGATATGATATGATATATGCCAAGTGCTTTTGCCTTGATGCTTGTTCTTGTTATGTAAGTGTAATTATCTTTGCCTTTTGACTCACAAGTGTTTCAGTTTGATGATTTATTGCGTTCTTCCAATTCACTTCACATGTACAAAAATATTTCAGAGCCCTTGAGGCCATCCTGAAAAATCTTGAGACTTTGAGGTCATCGTGAAAGGGCACGAAACCACATCTTTGTGGCCCTTCCCTACGAAAGTGATCACAGGCTACAGGTGGCCCTTGACCCTGCCTCCTACGGGATTGTCCAAAGATGGTGATCTCATCAATATCCTCGTCATGTCAAGCAATCGTCCTGTATGGATCTGCATGGTATGATTGGAAGACAATATTCTATACTTGAAACCACCAACTCACCAACTAGGTTGCCAGATGTTACCAGGTTTTCGAAAAACATGTTCCCTTTATTGTCTTCAAGTGCCAGGTGCAAGTGAAATTCCGCCCATTCGATAAGCTTGAATGGTCTTAAATGGAGTACATCCCTTTGGATTGATCCATATCCAGATCCCAAAAAATCTGGATCCCGGTTGAAAGAATTTTCTGGCTAGTAAACATCATGTGGCAAACAATTACAGAAATACTTTGTTTTTTAACTATCAAAAAAAAACATCCAGTTGGTTGCCCCTATACTAACCATTACCAGCACTGAAGAGCTACACCCGTACCAACACCCAGATCACCGTACCACAGTCATCCAGGCTCTGAAGCGCCAGCGTTGCCAACGCCGATGCGATCAGGCTCTTTTCTCCTCCATGATCCATGGGAAGATCTGAAGGGAGAAGAGGACTTACTGGTGCTAAGTCCGTGGGGTGGCTGGATGGGTTGCTGGTTGCTGGGATGATGAAATTGATAGTTGGCCAGTGGATCATTGCCGAAAATTCCCTACGTAAAACGCACCAGTAAGAGGAAAACTACCGGAAAATCCTACGTTTCATGGTGCCCTCCCACAGATGGGGAAGGTATGGGAAGGTAACATGTCCCATGGATTTTCCAGCAAAACCAAGCCACAATTTTCATGGAGTGACTCCGAGTCCCACTTGTTTTCAAGGATATGAAAGGGAAAAACAGCTTTTGGAACCCCCACTATATCATTCAATGGCCATTTCAGGAACCTAAATTGGAGGTACCCTCTGGTAATTTAACGTAGCTATTGAAAATGACCATTAATAGTGGATTTTCCCATTAATAGCATGGTGATTTTCCATAGCTATGTTAGTTTACCAGAGGGTACCTACCATATTATATTGAATAAGGCCTTTTTTATCATGGGGAGACACACTGGCGCCCCCACGTGGCGCCATCGGCTCCTGATCGCTTCCATCTTCTCGCGCATCGTCACCAGCCGTTCTTCCACTTCCTGCTGCACCGCCGATCCTGGAGAGATCAACGATGGCCAAAATTCGGTGATTTGATCATCAAACTTGGGGATGTAACTGGGAAAAAAACAGGGATTTCCATAATATTCCATAATGATACTTTAGATCCATCAAACTTGGGGATGTAAGTGGGAAAAAAAACCAGGGATTTCCATGCCATAATACTTTATGAGATGCTGGAAATGAAGTACTTGGTGGTGACTAATCTATCTAGTACGTGGCTGATATCTGCGTATATACCCATCATTAGCTATTTAAGGGCTTATCAAATTTCACGAGCTCCTGGGATTTTGTGATATTTTTAGGGAAGATTTTTTCTATCAAGGTCAAGATGCAATATTTGGTGCAGTGTACGCGCACAAGGATCGCAGTCCCTTGCGTTTGAGGCCACGCCCAACGATGGCCGAAGTTGACCTTTTTCAACTCTGACGGGTCAAAACTCTGCGCGCCGGTGAAATTTCTTAAACTACACGATTCGGAATAGAATGTAGGTTATCTGCTATCTTCTGGTTGGTGGTTTTACAGTAACCATCTTGAAAAATGATGGAGTTCGTCAATGGGAAGGATGACATCCTATATATATTATGTAAAATAAAAAAATGTTTGAAACCAACAACCAGTCTTTAGATGTGTCTACCCAAAAATCGCGTCGGACAACCAAGGTGGCTGGTAGTTATGGCTGTTCACCCGACCGTTCCAATGGTTTCCCGTATCAAACCCCACGTCTAGAAGTTGTTCCTGTTGCAAATTAGGATCACTCATTGCCATGCTTCCCACCTCATTTTGGAGCTACCATCAAGGCTAACTTATGCTAATTTCATACGTATTATTTTGTGATCCTAATCTAAAACCATCTAACTACTCAGCCAATGTGTACCATTAGAACCATTTCACCACACCACATCATCATCAAAATACCAAGACTAAGAATGAAATCATGTCCAACTACCCTTCACCAGCTTTAGCTGCTACTGATACTGTATATCTACATTCACTGCTGGTTGAGATTCATTTATCTTGTAGAAAACTCCCCATCAATCAGTCAACGTCCCTTCAGCACAAGATCTGCAACACGTGCACGTAACACACAAGAACTGAAATCGCGAAAATTCATAAATGACATGAGAAATCCGCATCTACATTAGCCAAAAAACGTCACTAATGTTAGTAAAGCAATGATAAACCACCCATATTCTGATGGTTTTTATGCACCCAATGTATGGTCAGTCGGGATGGTCGAGTCTATTGGCCTAACATCTATAGATTTATCATCATCCCCCTATTAAACACCCCCCATCAACCATGGTTTAGTGGCGGATCTATTTGTGTCAAGACAATGGGGGGATTTGAATATAACGGGGGGTGGGAAGCATCATCATCAATCTAATTGCAATAGTAACATGTTTCATGAAAGTGTATTATTTGCCAGTAACATATTATGTACTAACATTTCTATTTGGATTGATTTCTGACATTTTCATCATCAATCTACATGGGGAAAAACATAGCGCCTCGTGACCCAACCCATAAAACCGGTCTCTGTCAGCTCCTACTCTCAGACGCATCCGCAAGGCTCTTGTGCGCCGTTGTGCAGTCGCGCCCTAAGGCCCGGTTGGTGCGTTGTGCTTCGGATTTCACCAGGTGACTTACCTCCCTTCCCCTATTACTAAACGGTCCCCCTCACACCCCCAAATAATAAACACCTGGAGGACTTTTTAGTATTAGGGGGGTATTTAAAAATTTAGTATTAGGGTGCGAAGCTTCCCCTTAATACCAAATTAAAAACCCTATTATAAAAAACGATTTTTTCTATTTCAAAATCGATTAGATTTCCTTTTAAATCTAATTAACATATTGCCAAAAAATGGACTTCAAAATCGATTAGATTTCCTTTTAAAATCTAATTGAAATATTGCCAAAAATTGGATTTCGAAGCTGTCTCCCCTAATATTAAAGTAAAAACATGTAAAAACCTTAATATTTTGTTTTTCAACCTTAAAAGACGGACCCTAATAAAGAAACACCCCGGGGTTGACTAGTTTTTATTATTAGGGGGTGAAACCCTGAAATGGGAGCTTCATTTTGAAATTTGTGTTCGAAAGGGGATCAATTAAAAATCAAAGTGGCCACTCTGAAGTTTCCTCAAATTTAACGCGGACCCTGGTTTTTAGTACTTGGGGTACGTTTAGTAAAAGGGGGTGGGAATTCATGGGGATGTCATGGGATTTAACCAGCCACAATTGTGATTTCAGCAGTAGAACTAGGGGGGAGTTCATCAAACGCTTGGCTTTTTAGGAAACTCGATTTCAGGTTCAGTCACAATTCCGAGGCAAATACAAACCCTCTGGAATTCTTACCCAATGGAAAACCACCATGTTTGCGGAAATCATCTGTTGTTGCCATATGTGCTACATGATGTTAGTTGGATGCCCATGAAAAATCTTTGCGTTGCAAGTCATGTCAATCAAGGCTTGATAAATCCCCCGTTCACTACGTAGTCCCCCGTCCCCAACATCGTGACAATTCCAGTTTCAGTAACAATGGCAACCCGTATGTCTATAGTTATAAGTTGAGGCTGTATCTTGGATTCACACAAGGGAGGTCAGACATGGTCAAAGGCGACTCCCTGCAAAGTCCCCTTTGCAATATTATTGAAAACAACAAATCACAGTCTTAGCAAACCCGGGTATGCCTTGTATCAGTCTTAGATCATCAGTTCTGTTTGTTAAGACATGTTACACAACCATTTTTGTTGTTGCATTGGTTCACGCGGCAATTGTTGTTGATGGACAAAAAAACACAATTTTTATACATGAACACATTTTTTTGCTGGTCCAAACCACCAATTTCATGGATAATAACTAACCTTTTCGTTCGGCAAGACCACAATTGTTAATGCTTATACAATGTGGTAAACTCAATCTACCTCCAAATTTGGAAGATCCATACAATCCATTTCTGGTCAGTAAGTTTTGGGGTTTCACATGGTTTACCTCATCACCCTCGGTATCCCTCGGTCCATAACGACCAAGCCCAGGTGCTACACACACTGCGCTGAGCAGCGGCGCGGCCGCTAGCTGCAGACGTGCGGGGCGCTGTGGTGGCTGTGGCGCGAGCGCGACTGCCCTGGTAGCAGTGGGTGTAGCCGGAAAAGAGATGGGGGTTTACCATGAGTCAACCAACAAAAATAATCTATAATGGGTATAACATGGGAGTATCATGGAGATACAATAGAGATGTATTGGAGATATAATGGAGATATGATGAAGATATGATTAGAATAGAATGGGAACATAATGTAACATAATGGGGTATATATGGGTGTATATGGGTATATATGGGTATATTTGGGTATATATGGATATATATATATATATATTAATATATATATATATATATCTATATAACCAGGAATAAGAGATAGGGAAACATCAAGTATAATATCAAAAGCAGCTATCGACTTGGTCGATTTTTTGAATCTACCAAGATACCACACATGATGGCTGATCTGGTGGATAGTTGACACATCTTACCCTCTGGTAAACTAACATAGCGAACTGGAAAATCACCAGCTTTAATACGTACATCATCTATAAATGGTCCATGTTCATCCATTTTCCATAGCTAATTATGTTAGTTCCAGAAAATTAGCTATCTGAGCTATGGAAAATGGATGAACATGGACCATTTAGAGGGCAATACACACAATGCCATCTGAGTGTCATCTGAAACTCCTGGGATTCCAATTTCAACCCGCCTCCAACTCGCGTGCCCCAGCTGGTCACACCCCGGCAGTGGAAAAGTTCCAAACATGGCCATGGCACCGCCGGTATGCAAACAGTCAAGGTATCCACGCAGCTATCACTGGATTGGTTTTGTTGGGAAAATCTTAACCGGAAACCATGGTTTTTACCATCAAATATAGGGCTTTCCTGTAAATTTTCCCATCATCCAATTCCTACCCTCTGGTAAACTAACATAACTATGGAAAATCACCATTTTTAATGGACAAAACCACTATTTCTATGGCCATTTTCAATAGCTATGTTTGACATAACCAGAGGCTACATTGAAGGTACCTGAGCCCTGAGAGCTCTGAAAAATTGGAGGATATGATCCACTGGCGAACTATCAATTTCATCATCCCAGCAACCAGCCACCCTACGTTTAGCAGTTTAGCACCAGTAAGAAGATACATCTTCAAAACGCTGATGTATGGCCTGATATGATACAGTAGTTTCATGTAGTTTCTCCTTACCTGAGTTGAGGCTGTTGAACAATGATCACCTCCAATCTTAGGCACCCCGCCACGCAGCATCCCCCGGCACGCAAGGATGTTTATGATGATTTAATAAGGAAACATATATTGCATGCATTTAGGGGCTTAAATTAATATGCAAAGAAGATGTGATTACAACCGGAAAACTAATAAGAATCTCTGATGTTTTTGGGGTGGTTTTAAAAGCATGTAGGCAACTATGCTACAAGAGGCCCGCCCCTACTCCCTATTGGCGTTTCTTTTGGGGCAAACAGCAAATTCGGGATGTCATACTAAGTACTTGTCTTTGTCACGTAACCAAATATACCAATCATAATCCCTGATGTTTTTTGGGATGGCTCTAAAAGCAATTAGGCAAAGGATGGCACACCGTGCATTGGTGGCACATGGTTCTAGAGGGAAACCACTCACGCCGGGGTCTCGTCGCAGAGATTACAAAGACGGTGCCAGATGCAATTTGCCAGTCCCAAAGAATGCTTTTAGGCTTTAGGGTGGTTCCGGGTGTAATTTGGCGGAAATGATCCTCATGCTGCTGATTTCTTCTAAATGCATCTAGACCTGTGCGTCGGCACGCGCGGGCGGTACGCACAGCACGCGCGTCTAAGCCTCCAATCGGAAAGCACCCAGATCTCCTGGTGGGCACCTGGTGTATCAACATGGAGATTTCCCCCGCAGTGTATGACATTTTCGCACTTGGGAAGTGGCCATGTTCCAACTGGGAACTTCCCAAACTGCTGAAAACCAACTGGGTTCCTTGTCACCATTGGGTACCAATGAGCCGACCAAATTGGAGTACTGAGGGACTATAACATGCATTTTTTTAGGGGAGTTCATCATTTTGATCCAGGCCATACTGTACCCATTCAATGTTGTGGCCCTGACGTTTAAGCTGCAACGTGTCACCTGTTGTGGTTTCTTCGATGTTTTTCGTTTCTTAGATTCAGATTGTTTACTGTAAATCATGTACGGGAAAAGTAACTTGAACATTGCAACGTACGTGTTGTCATCTTTTGTTAGATGAAACTTCCTTAGGCACAGCTCCCTTGTAGCACTCTGTCCGTTTTGTTTTCCACATGTTTCCTGGCTGAACCAGAACAGCTGCGTATCAAAATTGGGACCAATGAGACTCATAGTCCTGGCAAAGGCTGACTTTAGATCATTTAGATATCCCTTTTCACCATTGGAAACTTGATATGTCGGATTTGTTGAACCACAAAAACTCATAATTACTCATATACTCCAGATTCCTCTACTTGTGGCTAACAAATAAAATCCCAAAAACCAACCCAGCGGTGGCACCAGCATCAGGCACCAGTGATCCCCACTGATCCCCACTGACCATTCCGCTGATAGGGCTAAACTGGGCAAACGTTTACACCGAACCATGTGGAGTCTATCGACCATTTCTAGATCATTTTCCTATTGAAACCTTCATTTATAGATGAGTCTTCCATGAAAACCTCCATTTCTAGATCATGGTTCCTGATTTGTTCTACAAAAACCAGGTTTTTTCCCATCTTTTTTCCCTCCCAAAATGTTCCCCCCGCAACAACGTCCCTCCCAACGTCCCTCTCCGAACCGTTCCGACCTCTTCAGTGCTGTTGCGCCAAGCTGTGAGCTGCACCTCTGGGGGGGCCGTCATCAAATGAGCTCCATTTTAGGGACATCATCCATGAATTTTACAGGATTTTGATCCACTTAAAGAAAATGGGATAAACATGGATAAACTCCGTTTTTATGAAGGGATTACCAGAGGGATAAATGGATATAAAATGGATATCAATGGATAAATTACGATTGATGATGATGATTCCAGCATTTATTTCTTGGGGATGATCCAGCTAGGACCCAGGACTATCCAGAACTCGGGCAATGGGAACATGTTCTAATCAGAAATTATCCATTACCATGTTTGATTACCAAAAGGTAACAACCATGTAAAAGCATTGTGCAGCTTGCATGCACTCGTGGGAACATGATTTTTTGGGGATACCAGCGCGTTTCGAACCGGTGTAGTTCCATGCGATCATGCGTGTACAGGTTGCACATGCAGAGAGTTGGTGATATTGATACACGTTGACAAATATCGGCGTAAATAACATGTATGTGAAAATTTCTAGATACTATATTGTTGCATAGATATACCCAGTCATTTAACACAGCCATGGACAATGGCCCATAGAAATAGATTGTTTGCCTATCAGTAGCATGGTGATTTTCCAGTTCGCTATGTTAGTCATAACCAGACACCATACAGTATATGGGCCCGTAGGCGCTACGTTCCGTTCAAGGGCCTTGCAACTGGCGTCTGCTGTTTCCATTCACAGGTGAGATACGAAACAGAACTAACATGAACTAACCAGAGGACAAGCATCTGGAAAATCTTGGAAAATTCGATGTAAGAACCTCAATCCAATTCTAATGATTCTCCCAATTTCAACCATATATTCAGAATATATGTATGTATATATATATATATCGAGATATGAATACAAGTATATTTACATATATCTAAGAACAACTCTTAAAAACAACTGTTGCCGGGGAAAAACTTAAGCCCCGTCTCGAAAAATGTTTGGCTCGCTCGTCGGGATCATCATCCCATGGCTATGGCTATGGATCATCAATGGCAAGGATTATCCCATATAATTAGTATGGAAAATAAGAATTGTTCCAAACCATCCAAGCAGATTACCATATGGCAGTGTGTCAAAACCAATACTACCCCTGTAGTTCACATCAAAATAGCTGGGATGCAAATGGATGTGAATAACCCCCTAAATAGCTGGTATTAATAGGTATTGATCCATAGCCATATATACGTAAATCCTGATTCTGACTCCCAGTTTTGGACTATATTCAATATCCAATGACTATGACTAGCAAAAACATCATTGGTGACCCATTGTATCCCCATGTTAGACTGGTTGGTGGTATACCTACCCCTCTGAAACATATGAAAGTCACGTGGGATGATTATTCCATATTATTCCCATATATTATGGAAAATAGAATTCATGTTTGAAACCACCAACCAGCTGAAATTTCTGGCTACATTTGAGTTGTTTTCCTCTTCCTAACCTCAGGACCTTCATTCCTAACCTTGTATCCCCATGTTAGATGGTTGAATCTCAATATTTTTCTTGTCCCAATAGCAATTTTATCGGACCATTGGCTTACCACCGTGCTATCCATGGGAAGTTCTCACAGAGACCGCACCTTCGTCTCAGCCAACTCCGCCTGCAGAGGTTTCAATGTGTGAATCCAAAGAATATTATGCTTAGATATGAAATGTATATAATATAAGTATCCATATCTATCTATATACATATATATCTTTGTATGTAATTCAAGAAGTAAATGTGTATTCAAAAAATGAACACATACATATAGGACTACGTGTGTATATATATATAAATGAGCAAATATTATGTATATGTACACACACATATATAATCATATAATTATATATATGTATGTATATATTATTATTTTCATACATATTATATATTCATATACGTACACATACCCATTTTTATACCGGGTTAACCTTCAAGTTTCGTTTAGGCTCCTCCACTGGTGAAATTGGGGATGGTTTATCATTGGATTGACCAGATAGATAGACATACTGGTGCGAAACGCAGGGAATTTTCGGGAATGATCCATTTCATCACTAGTAATAATCACCCCAGCAACCCCCAGCAACCTATCCATTCCCTACGTTTAGCACCAGTAAGTAGAAATATACAAAAATAGAAAAACATAGAAAAACATAGAAAGGATTGATCGATAGATGGATAGATGGATGGATAGATATATTAATAGAATTGATAGAGTTGATAGATGGATTGATGGATTGATAGAACTGACAAATGAATAGTTGAATTGATAGAATTGATAGATGGATAGATGGATGGATAGATGGATCGATGGGTAGATGGATGGATGGATAGACAAGACAAAACAAAATAGGTTCTGTTTGATACTAACCAGCAATCAGAAAGAGTTGTTCAGAAAATCGCATCCAGTTCCAACACCTCTCCTTTACATCAATTTTAAGAATGCAAATTTTAGTGGCATCCCAACATATTTTGGTTCCAATTCCTCCAGGATGGTCACTATCGGTTCAATCCCAAGAGGTGCTGGTTGTACGGCTTGGAAACGCGGCTTGGAAACTCATGATAGCCCTGATAGCAATCAAGTCAACATGGAATATTCTGGGTAAATTACAATAATTCACTCAGTAACCTGAATTCTTGGGCCATGGCTGGGGATGATTTCCCTCAAACAAACCATGACACCCTTAGCTCCGAACCATCTAAAAATGTCCCATCAACGATGATGTCGGTAAAAATCGTATCCACCAGTGGATAAATCATCACCATATAACCATTGATGAGGATAATCACCCTTATCATACCCTCTGGTAAACTAACATAGCTATGGAAAATCACCATTTTTAATGGGTAAATCAACTATAAATGGCCATTTCCAATAGCTACGTTAAATTGCCAAAGGGTAGCTACCATGAATAATTGGTTGTAGTTGTTAGCTCTTGGTGTTGGTCATAGTTCTTCGTTATAGTTATAGTTCTTCGGTATGTATATAGTTGTTGGTTGTAGTTACGGCCCTTACTAGTTTTAATTCAGTTGTAACCCCGTTCATTGAATGATAACCCCATTTATATTTAAAAAAAACTGGTAAAGGGCTTTAAGTGTAGTTGTATCATATTCACTCAATTATTTAATAGGTATGTATATATAGGTAACTCATCCATAAATGTACCATTTTCCAGTTCGCAATATTAAATAACCAGAGGGTATTCTCCACCCAATTCTTCCATATATTACCATATTTCATTACCATGTCACCATGTCCATTTTTACATATTACTGTCAGTATTACATCATATTACCATATGATTACTGGTTGGTGGCTTTAAAATTTTAACCATCTTGAAAAATATTAGTCAATGGGAAGGATTATCCCTTACAATTATTATGGAAAATAAGAATTGTTCCAAAGCACCAACCAGATTACCATATGGCAGTGTGTCAAAACCTTGTACCCCTGGTGAACATCAAAATAGCTGGTAAATGGATGTTTAAAAATGGTATAAATAGGTATTGATCCATAGCCATATTACCATCCATTTTCCATCCACCCAATGCCACCTCCAACGTCTTGACCTTCCGCTGAACTTCCTGCGCCTCGTAGCGGCCACGCACCTCCTCGGCCTGATCGTTAAAAAACTGGGGAAATCCTGCCCCAATGGATGGGAAAATCAGCGGAAGGTATGGGAAAGTGTGGGAACACATAGGAAAATGGAGATGGAAATGTAGTGTATCCATTTCCATATCTGATATATCTATATTTCATATCCATTTCCATCAATATCATATTTTCAACTGGGATGACTGTTAAGTTTGTCTGACATATAGATATGGCTTTGTCTGAAAATGGGGTATACCATTGAAATCACCATTTCAGAAGGGGAATATGGTGATGAATCATCGACTTAATGGATCTTTGAAATATATAAAATTCCCAAATGGGGTCGAAATATATAATAATTATAATAATGAAATATTAAATCCATTTATGAATATATACTGTATATATGTATATGTTTAATGGAGATGCATACCAATAACTGTATATGTTCAAAAGTATAGCGGATCTTGATCTCCATGGCGAATAGTTTCAACTATAAATAGCTTTGGTTTATCAACATGAAAATGAGAGATCCTCAATTGGTTTAAGGAAGCTCCAACTATATCAATGCTGGTTGGTGGTATACCTACCCCTCTGAAAAATATGCGAGTTCGTCAGTTGGGATGACGACATTCCCAACTGAATGGAAAGTCATAAAATTCCATGGTTCCAAACCACCAATCAGAATGGATATCAATAGAGACATTTCCAGCCGCGTTTGAAAAAGGGAGGGGAAGTGGAGAACTGTCTGTGGATACCCAGCTGAAAAAAGGCCAAATTTCCAGCGATTTTACCTATGTTGTGTGAACAACCGTAAGATATGTGCGCAAAACACGGTTGTAATTACAAGTTCATACGGTCAGTAATTAAGTTATGTCACTACTAGAACAAAACATGTTTTTTATTTTCCCTGGGTTTTAGTGTTTGACACATACATATCATACCAAAATACAACATACAAATGTGGCGGCACAACGGGTGTATAAGTATTGTATGACAACAAGTGGAGCATCAAAATAATAAACTAAACTACAAGGAAACAAAACAAGACTCTGTACAAACCAGAATAAAATTCATGAGTAAACTATTTATCTTGTCTTTATTGGTTCCTCGTGATAGAAGTCATTCAGAATATTCCCTTATAATCTCATAGAAGACAGCGTAGCCGCTAAACGCTAAACCGACATGGCTGCCAAGGATTTCAGGAAGCACAGCAGGGTGCTCCGAGGCACCACCCCTGGATTGGCCATCAATCCCAATGCACTGTTGGTTTAGATCACGATATTGTCTGGGTAGTGGTTTCAACCCCTCTGAAAAATATTAGTCAATGGGAAGGATTATCCCATATACTATGGAAATACTATGGAAAATAAAACATGTTTGAAACCACCAACCAGTATTGTGTTAGCTGAAAACTCTCATACATGGTCTTTTTCTTTGACAATAAATAAAATAATTACAGTTTTTGCAAAGATTCCCTGCAAAATAAAATATGCTCCGGCCTGTTCTGTACGTATTTATGCATTTCCAGATATTACAGAATATTACAGATTGTTTCGCCATCAAGAAGACCAACAAAACAGTCAAATGGGGTTCTACAGCCATTTCACCACCAGTTACATGCCATTTCACCATTTAACCAGCACCAGTTGCTTTACCCCTATTGATGTATGCAAATAAATCACCATATGTTGCCGGCAAATTCACTATGTTGCATACAAGCTGGTGCCCCATAGTTAGCTAAGTTGGTTTATAACTCCCATAACTATGGTTTATGGCAGATATAACTATAGTTAATGGGGGTTATAAACCAATTTATAACTGGGGGGCACCATCCTGTAGTTTAATGGCCATTTCCCCTACACTTTTCCATTTCGCCTAGTGGCCGCCTGTTTGTTCCACCGCTTCGGTGCCTCGTCTTTCAGGGCGGCAACTTCCAGCTGGTGCCGCAGCTCCTGGTCGACGGGTAATCATGATTCACCATTAATCATTGACCTTAACACCATTATTTCATCATCATTGACCATGAATAATTATATAACCTTGGTCATTATTAACCATTATTACAAGGTGGTGCCCCAGTTCGGAATCGCTAAGTTGGTGGTTTATAACTCCCATTTCACTATGGTTTATGGTAGATAGAACTATAGTATTCATGGGGTTTATAAACCAACTTATAACTGGGGGGCACCATCCTGTAACCATTATATAACCATTATCAACCACTCTTCACCATGACTAATACAGAGAAAACCTCGTTAGACTTTTTTTGTTGGGCCCGTCTCCTTCAGACCCAGCACTTCTGCTCGAAGCTCCTGGGGCGTCACGTCACGTCGGTGCAATGGGGGTTAGTTTCATGGCAATTTTCATGGATATTTTTATAGGCAAATGTGGGGATGATGGGATGATTATCAAACATATTCCAACAATAATCCAATTAATGGGCTGATTTGGGAAATCTTGAATCAGAAAATCATGGTTTTCACCATCCAAAATTGGGAGTCTCCTGTACATGTTCATCCAATTTTGAGAGTAGAACCATGGTGATTTCACCCCCACAAGTTAGGATATACTGTAGCCCCTGACTATGGTTATTGTTACCTTATGTTACCTTGTAGGTGAGACTGCACCCCAAAGTATGGACGTAGACACAGCACAAGACCCAGTTTTTAAGAAAACTGCACATAGCATAATGAAAGTAGACTGAGATCATCCTGAATGCTTGATATCACCCACTAGAATAGCTTAGCACCCCGACAACAAGATTGCTGAAAACAACAAAAAACAAGGAATGTCATTGGTGTGTGGAACATGAGGAATCCCGGGAAAAGTCCTTTGCACTCAAGAACAATTATTGCACAAAGACACCACATTGAGACCCGGGAACACAACCCTTGGTGATGTTTCCAAACCATCATCAAGAAACATAGGGATTTGGCCAGCTAAATCTTCGGATATCTGCAAGAAACCAATTCCCTTCCGACGGAACAAGCTACAGAAACCCGACTGTATTGAATCATATTGAATCTATACATTTGGGAGCAAGAAAAGGGCCCCGAGCTCATGATGATTGAGGATGTGATTAACCAGGTACAAACATGGCCCCCCGGAGAACCACAACTGAGTTTAACCCTAGTGAAATGGTACAGTATTTGAGATATTATTTGTCTATGGGTCAACATGAAAAAAACATTTAAAAAAAACACATGTCTGGGCCGCAGATTTCGATCATGTCATGTTTAGAATCTGCCCAACGAAATTTTGGTGACCCAATTTGGATTTTGGTGACCCAATTTTGACATATTTTCACCACCCATTTGCACCAGGTAGTCCCAGTGATTTCGAGAAAAAAAAGGCGCCTCCTGCGCTTTCAACACCTCCAACTTTGGAGCTTCGGGCGGAGAGGCGACCTCAAAAGGGGAGCGTTTTTTGCCGGGGCCCACGGTCATCCAGGGTCCAAGTGGATTTGGATTTGGTCGCTTGGATTCATTTCATCCGTTGGAAAGGTGGGTGAAGATCTCTGGAAACGATTTCACTGAGGCAAGTGCGATTGGTGGAAAGAAAACCTTCACCAGTTGATATTTGATCCAGATCCATGCTCACCCCAAACCGCTAGGATCAAAATCTTGAGTTTCTATGGAAAAAATCATTCCAAGTCTTCCCCAAAGATTTTCACATATTTCCTAGTGACATGGATCAAGGAAACGAAACTGGTCCATCCAAACGTATTCGAAAAAGACCCCAAGAGGTCAGGAGTCAGACCAGGCGTCCTTGAAAACATCCCACGAAACTGCGAAGTGTTTTCGGTCAAAATCACATCTTGAATTTACCCTCTGGTTATGTCAAAATAGCTATTGAAAATCACCATTTCTAGTGGATTTTCCCATTGAAAATGGTGATTTTCCATAGTTATGTTAGTTTACCAGAGGGTATGGTGATGCATTCTTGGTGGTTCAGAGAGTCGAAGCCCATTCTTGGACTCGGACAGTCACGGGCGCGCCATAAGCGC